CTTTTCTTTTTCTCATTTTTTTTTTCAAAACTTCAGCAGAGTTTCTAGATTTTTCAAATACTGAAATTTTTGGAAACCGGATGAATTTTCTCTCTCCTACTTCTCACTTCTGCTTTTTCTTAATTTTTTGTATTTATTCGAGCAGCCGGTCAATATGCAAATCAGATCAAACAAAATGCACAAATAACACGTAGGATGCATCATGATGGTCTTTTATTTTTGGGTACACCTGTCCTATACGTGCCCAACCCCTGTGTTGAGTCCCCAAAGTCAAATACACGTGATGAAACTAGGGATCCGGCATGAGGCTATGTTATTCTAGGTTTAAAATTCGGGGGTGGGTGTTTTAGATCTGGCTTACCCAAGCAGACAGCTCGAGCCAAGGTGGGGGCAACGTACCGGGAGTACGAAAGTCTACCCAGCCTAGTTACTGATCCATCCTCGTTCTATTTGGTATGACCTCTAACAGAATAGTGGGCCACGCGCACGTGTGCACCATAAATTCAGAAGACTCAGAAGGGAGGCGTAAGAAGGCGGTTTATATAGTTCAAATAATATCAAAGCGGTAAATGTGCAAAAATTTGCACATTAGGCCCACAAACACAGTAATATCAACAATCAAGAAAGCCAAGTATAGATCACATTACAAGCTCGAATTCTGAACTCTGAACCAGAAGTTCTGAGTTATTTTCTCCAGCAGAGTCGCCAGAGCTGTCACATCCCTTTTATACCCCCCCAAAAGATATATGTGTTATGGATTATTATGGGTTAAAGAGTTTTTCCAATTAAAGTGACAAATTTGAATAGGAATTATTTTATTTACAGATTCGCCACTTGGAATTGATTTTTTGGGGGTTCCAAGTCACCTTTTATTTGAATCCCTAGTCAAAGAAAAATTTGACTCTATTATTATTGGTTTGCGAAAATAAAGTCCGGGTAAGAAATTCTATTGATCGGGGAGAAGGTGTAAGTCATTCTCCGAGTTCCGTGGTTCTAGCACGGTCGCTTTTTTGACTACAACTTGGCTTGAATTAATTTTAGATAAACTATAATTTGTTGGTTTCCATGTTTTATTTGTCCGCTTTTATATTAAAATATGGAATTATCTTTGAAACGAATCACGTGTGTGAATCCTTTTTGTTTATTGTGCCAAAATCATGTCATGTGTATGTGCACGCAATTAATAGCATTTTTATTATATTTAAGGTTGTTTCGTTCAAAGTTGCGCGAACGAATACCTTGATTTTAGTTTTGGAAATCGTAATTATGTCACGCAAATGTATACATAATCACGATGATTTAATTAATTATGAGTACGCCTAAAGCATTCTAGCGCATTCATAATTTGTTTCTTTCCTAAGTTTGAGATTATTGTGAAGGTCATGAATTATGGAATTACTTGTGGAAGAAGTGTATGATTTTAAATATTTGAATAAATAAACCATCATATACCAATACCCTACAACCCAACAATTGAAGCCCAAACTCATTAGGGTCCAAATCTTCCCAACTTTAAAGCAAGTTTGAATACTTTATTTTCAGAAACATGATTAAGTATATAGCATTTAAGGACTAATTTACATTATTATTTATAAAGTTTAAAGGCAAATAAATAAAATCACATGAAATAAGATTAAAAGAATAGAGGAAAGAATAAACTTTAAATGCAAAATTTTCAATTAAATGAGTTTCCAAGAACATGTACAGTAACTCAGACGACCGTCGAACAAGCATAAGCGAAGAAAAATATCAAAGCAAGTGAACGGAGCTCCAACGGAATCCTCGACCTCGACTATTGACTTCACTTTTTGGCGTGTAAAAAGGGATGTTAAGAAGTATTTTTGTTGGATTTTGGTTGATAAATAGCTAGAGTTTTCGAAAAGAAGAGACGAAGAAAGAATGACATGAGTAGAAATTTCCTTAGCATAGAAGAAGAAAACAAAATTCTCTCAATTCCCTCCTCTCTCTTTTTTTTTTCTCCTCCTTCTCCCTCCCCACATTTCTCTTCTATTTATAGAAAAAAAAATCGGATTTTTTTCAGATTTGTTTTTATTATTTTATTATTTTTAATTAAAAAGAATTCCCACTTCCCATTATTCTTTTTAAAAAAAATATATAATTCCCCACTTTCCTTTACTTTTATTTTTTAATTTCCTATTTTTTACTTTTATAATATTTAAATTTCCACTTTTTTTTACTTTTCTTATTTTATTCTCCACTTATTTTACTTTTCATTTTTTAATTTTCCACTTATTTTACTTTTCTTTTTTTAATTTCTAATTACTTTTACTTTTTTTTAAAAACAATTTCAGCTACCTTTACTTTTATTTTTTAATTCCAAATTCTTTTATTTTTAATTTTTTAAATTTTCACATTCTTTTACTTTTACTTTTTTATTCCTTACTTTTAATTTTCCTATTATTTTACTCCATTCGAAAATTATTGTTTTTAATTTTTTCGGTTTTCGTTTAAATTTATTTTATTTAAAAATAAAGATAAAAAATAAAAATAATACTAATAGTAATAATTTGACCTTTTAAATTATTTATAATTCTTACCCTATATAAAAAATATAACAAAGCTAAAAATAAAATATATATTAAATTTTTAAAAATATTTACATAGTATAAGGTCATAAAAATTCAAATATAGTCAAAAATTAGGTGCTCACAATAAGTAAAAAAAAATAAATACAAACCATGCAGATTGAACAACTTAAGCCTCCCAAGGTTAATTTCCTTCGAATTTAGATGTGATATTATTGAAGCGAGAATAATATGAACAAAACTGAAAAAAATAGTATCTTGTTCTCTTAAGTATGTTACAATATGTCCAATGAATTACTCCATCCCCTTTATATATATAGGGAGATTAAACCTTTAAGACATTATTTTATAGGACATTATGTAGACCGTTGGCTCCCCTTTTGACTTAATCCCGTAATTTCCGTCATAATGATTGGTCAATGCGAAAATCATGGATACTTGTCGTGTGAGTTGGCAAAGCTTTTCTTCGAGGTCGTTAATCAGAAGCGGGGTCGGTCGTGCCCCCGATAAACTCGAGGACAAATCTGATGATTTTGTTCGAACTTCGATCCTCGATATCGAGCTCAGTTACATCTGTAACTTCGATCTCTTACGTAGGTGCCGAGCCTTGACCTATTGTTCCAAATGCCTCAATCAAACATAGAGCTCGGTTCTACCCATATATAATACCGGAGTTTGATGTATGTAAATCGTAATTTATCTATCATCACTTCATAAAGAGGAACGAATGGAAGTAGAAGCACATTATCGAAAAGTTGTGGAAAGTGATTAAAAGGTTTTTGAATGGTGATGGAACCGGTGAACTACATTTCAGACGGGCTTTTCATATTTCCATTATTAGTTATTTGACTAAAACTGGAGCCTTTTGTTGACCGAGAAGAATTGAACCCTTATATAGTTGCTGTTAACCGGGAGGATTAACATCTATTGCGGGACATGAAACATTCGGGACATGAAAAGCTATAATCTATTATGATATTACGCTTAATTTTAATATTTGAACATTGCATTCACCCTTGTCATTTGAAAGGTTAAGTCTTTAGTCGGGCTTATTATGTCCTTTAATTTCATTCGTTAATCTTATTTTCGTTCTTGTTTATTTATTATTTTTGGGTCAAATAGATTTACTTGTCTATAAACCACGTTATAAATTTAACTATACCATTTTACGAGTAAATAGTAGTCTTATCACTAACACTTTAGCTTCTATCTATTAAAATTATACAAGGATAAAGGATCATACCATGTGGTAGCAAAATTCTTGCAGCTATATATAGGGCATGGAGGGAGACAAAGTTGTATCTACTTTATTCCTTTTGGGTCACATTTGAACATGGTTGGCTGCATAAAAAGAAATAGTCTTGACTTAAAATTTAGCTATATATATATATATATATATATATATATATATATATATATATATGCAAAAAACAAACATCAAACTAAATGTGGGTTAATAGTAATAGAACTAATATGATCACAAAATAATCTCATGCTATTCAAAACTTGCACAACTCTGATAGAAACAAGAGCGACGAGAGTTGAGATCTCCCCAACTGCTGTGGTCCTCTTAGCTGACTTAGAGAATTTAATTGCAAACTAAGATATGAGTCATTATCCGTAGTTTGTTTTTTTCCACCCAGTGTTCGATATTCACTTTAGGGTCCCGATTAATTCAGATTCGCGTTGCATAAGACTCATTAAAGAGAGAAGCTCCTTTTACAAAAAATAATTATTTCTAGGACTCAAATTCAAGACATCTTGTTAGAGGAAGAAAAAGTCCACCACTTTTATTGTGAGTTATTAGTTTGAAGAATTAACCCAAATAGCCGACCACCTAATTTAATTGACATAATAAAGCTAAGATAATTAAATCAACCAAACATAGATCCAAAAACAGTTATTCATTGAGGTTCATTTGAGTTTATCTTCCTCCTACGAAACATAGCTTCTTTACGTATCCTCAAAATTCGAACAAATTATACAAATCCAAAATGGAGCCTTCTCATACTATATGGCTATGCATAAGCATACATTCAATTGTTAGTGCATGGTTAATTTTATAATAATAAACATATATTTATTCTTCTAAATTGCTCCTAGGAATTAGGATATAATGAATGCAAACAATCCGATTATGTTATGCACCAGAATATTTGAGTAAATACTTACTCGTAATTAGTGTTTAATCTAATCAAACAGTTTAACTTAGCAATTAAAAGTTGAAAAGAAAACACATTATTTATTCATGATTTAATTGTAAATATGTATATTAAAACATCTATCTTGTATATATTGGATTGATTTAATCAACGGATATGTATAAGGAATATTTATTTGCAAAAGAAAAATCGAAACCGCTGGAATATTTTACTGTGGAATATGATATAACGTTAAGGAAGAAATGAGGCCAAGAATCTAAAATACAAGAAACAAACCAACTGAACTATTAAGTGCCACTTAATAAAAGCCACTATTTATTGAAGAAAATAAAAAACTTTTCAACTCAAATTACACATTGAAAACAATATGATATGCTGAATAAAAACTGGAATTTCTTTTTCCAATCTCAACAATAAACAACTTCGACTGGTAAATAAGACACTTAACAATACTTGAGCACAACCCACAAATTTCATCTCAATGGTAAGCCCCACCCAAAAAAAACAAATAAAAGAAAAAGGTAAATATGAAAAATAGAAATCCCTCCAAGAAAATACAAACAATGAGATAAACTTTGAATTTTAACTTTTTCCGAATCGTGAGTGAGCACAGAATACTTTGTGCACTGCACTGTCCTTTATTTCAATTAATTAGGACATTGGAAGCCAGAAGGGACATTTTTGGAGCAAACATTAAGAAGCAAACTCAATGAGATAGGTACATTAAGATTAATGCCTAAAACATTAGCCTTAATAGCAGTACAAAGACAAAGAGCAGCTTCAACATCAGCAAGTCCTGAAATAAGACTACAACAAGGTTTCACAGGTGGTGAACCAACAACAACATTAACCAATCCAAGAACATTAGCACAAACACCTAATTTTAGTGTATCAATTGGGCAAGTTTCCTTTTTTGGAACATATGGAGGTGGAGGACAAGAAGGCTTTGGTTTTGGGGGTGGTTTTGGTTTAGGACAAGTTCCACAACCAGAAACAAATGTGAAGAAAATTAGGTTAAAGGTAAGGAAAAGAGCAAGAGTAGAGAAAACCTTGTTGGAAGCCATTTTTTTAATTAAAAAAAAATTGATTTTAAGAAGTAGTTTTCTTGGTGAAGTGATGAGTACAAGGTAGTGAATGCATGGAGGTATTTATAGTGTTGAAATAGTAGATTTATACCATAGTTTATTCAGCAATTTTTTTTCCAGTCTCAGTCCTTGCACTGCTGGCGTTTTTGATTTTGGTTTTTTTTTCATTAGTTTAATCGTTAGGTATTTAAAATTCACTAATTCAATTAATTGGATTTGCGCTTGGTAAGGACACTAAGGAAGGTAAATTGCTCCCTATCAAAAGGTTAGTTCTCTATTCTTAGAGTTCAAATTCGAAATCTATAAAATATAGAGATTCTAATCATCCTACCACACACCTCTCAGCGGTGATATATGTATCTATGTATGTTATCTATGTATGTATTACAAATGTATAAATATTTAAAAATTACTAAAATTTTAATAAATTTTAAATTTTAAAATCATATTTTTAAAAGTGCAAGTAGATTGAATAGTTAAAACCTTAAACGTTCAATGTATTAAGTTTAAATCCCGCACTTGTTTTCCGAGGGTTCGAAAGATAATGCATCAAATTAAGTTACTGAGATTATTATGATCATCTTTTACAATTTTACTAATTCCGCTAGCAACAAGGCTAATTATTTTAATTGTTTTTACCAGTGGATCAATTTCAAGTGTTTTAAGAGTGAAGAGAAAGACCAAAATCAAAACTAAACCATTACTGAGTAATTAAAAGGGGCAAAAATGGAATGATACGAACAATGAAAATTATAGTCTTCCCAACTTGTTTGAGATTGAGGCACTATAACTATTATACTGAAAAATTAATCAAAGGTAGAATTCTTTCTACTTTTTTGGTTCAGTAACTGTATTATTAGAATTTAACTACGTCCGGATTCGTATAAAGTCCAATATTGAGGATAAAACTTCCTAAAAGAAGCAACTCCATATTCGGAGCTCGAACCCGATCGAGATATCTGGATCACTTTGGTGCTAACATGCATATATATACACAAGATGGAGAAATTTTATGCACCCATGTGCCATTATGTAATGATCTTTGACTCTATGCAAAAAACACAGCCAAGAATTTGGAGGTTTGTGTTAAAGCTAAGAATACACAAGTTGGGTTCTGAATTTCTTGGTCTGTTAATAATCAGATTCAAGAACAGTGGTGCCTTTTTTTTCTCCAGCTAATTAATTAATTATAATACATAGAATTCTAGAAAACTAGTGGGCTATTTATATAGTACACAAAAAATTGTTCGTTGTCTACCTTATATTGGTAATTGAGGGTCCTCCTTTGCAAGAAAATATCTTTTTATTCGATCAGCAGTGATTCGTTTCTTTTTGGATTGTACCTAAAAGATGATTCTTTTAGTTATAATTCAATTCTTCTTTCTATTCGTGAGAAATGGAATTTATGTTCAATCTGAAAGTAACTCGTTGAACTTCCTACGTTTTACACATGATCTCATGTGCGCACCATTATGATTCAGCACATAACTTTTACGCCATGTGTCTGATATTCGTATTTGAAAATTTGAGTCGCGTAAGGAAGGAAAATGGTTCCTATCAAGATTTTTTTCATTTTCGGAGCTCGAACCTGAGACCGTTGGTTAAAAGTGAAGAGATCATATTCATCTCACCACAATCCTGGGTGATAAGATATTTGTATAAGTTGGTCCTATCTTCTATCCTTTTTTTCTTTACCCTCTCTTTACTTCTGAAAAAAATTATTTACACCAAATGCTTATATTAAACTAATAAAAATATAACAAGTATTTTTTATATATTTATTTTTCACTTAATTATGATTAACTAAAGTAAAGTTTCGCTTCCATATATTGCTTAATCATAATAAAGTAGAATGTTTGATGTAAATAGTTATGTGGTAGTGTTTTTTTTTTTTTTTCCATTCGCACCCCAACCACTTATTTTCCTTCCCTTAGCGCCCCACAAGATAGAACAATGATTACTTAAGGACAAAACTCATAGCTAATACTATTAGGTATGTTCATGGATCGAATAGAATTTAGCATCTTTCAGATTATAATTTCGAATTTTGTAAATTGCAATCTGAATCCGAACCAAATTAAACTCGGATCGGATCAGATTTTGATGTCTGAATCAGAAAATATTTCGAATTTCGGTTCAGATTGTACGCCTTATTAAGATGATAAAATAAATAATTTTAATATACTATCTCCTACCATTTTCAATAGCAAAACTCATTTATTTCTATATCTTTTACTTTTAATATTGAAAGGAAAGAAAAGGCAAAAACAATGAGAGAAATAACAAAGAAACCTTAGAATTTTTAAAAGAGCACCCTTACTTTACATGTAAAATATAAATTTCGGGTTTCGGATTGGTTTGGATGTAAATTGGACCAAACCGTATCCGATCCGATATCCAAAATAATTAAATTAAATATCTGAACTTCGATCCAAAGAGCTAAAATACAATTCAAACCAATCCAAATAATACGGATTGGTTTAAATTTTCGGGTTGACTCAAATAATGCACAACACTAGCTAATATAGCCTCTGGACCTAGGTAAAACAAATTGATAGTATGAAACTTCTCTTTCCAAGTCTACAAAAAAATCTCTCTAGTTGACCATTTAAGGCATTTCCCCTCATCTTAATTTTATTACCTAAATCAAATTGTATTAGAAATTCAATCTCAAAATCTTATTTGGAACTAAAAGTGCCTTTTGGTATGAAGGAGTAAGTTTTCATGAAAAATATTTTTCTTTATGATATTTAACAATTAAAACAAATATGAGAATTTGACTCAAAAGACTGACATATTAGTTGGGAGAATCGACTCAAACCTATAAACCTATTACAAATACTCTTAACAATCAACGAGGGATTTAATTGGTTCACAACAAAACAATATTTTTTATTGACCATTAATTAGAAATTATATCAATGCAAGGTTGATAACTCAAATTAAGATTACTAAACTTGATACGCACGGTAGCTAAAATATATGATAAATTCTTTTTGAATAATTCGTCTTATTTTCTTGTCCTTTTCCTAGTCAAGCGAGATGAAAAATATGGTGGATAAAGTGATCTCTTTATGTTCTTGAAATATTAATGCTAATAAATTAAGTACTCATAAATATAAATAATATTTTTTTTTATCATTTTCACTAATTAACTTATAATAGACCATTGTAGTCCGGTCTTTTCCAACCGCCCTAACACTTATTAGTTTATCTTGTTTAATCTGTCCCAATTCCTTGATAATATTAATGTAGGACCTATACAAGGAAAAGAACATATGATTCATAACAACATAGGACCAATTATATTCAGTGCTATTGTGACATAGCATCCCTTTACCGCACAGTGAAAGATGTGAACATTTCAAGAGAATAGAGATACAGTTAGTGTACTTTCTCTTTTATGGTTTTGCCTTTTATCTTATTTGAAGAGTAGTTGGACCTAGTGGTGTATTGATCAAATTTTGACTACTCCCTCCGTTCAATTTATATGAGATAGTTTGACTCGATACGAAGTTTAAGAAAGAAGAAGAAGACTTTTGAAATTTGTGGTCTTAAAAGTTTAAGGGGTAAAAGATTAGTGGGGCCATGACATTTGTGTGGTTATAAAAGCTTCTCATTGAAGGTAAAATGGGTAAAATAAAGAGTTTAAAGTTGAATTATTTTCAAATTTAGAAATGTGTCATTTATTTTGGAACAAACTAAAATGGAAAGTACCTCATCTAATTTGAAATATAGAGAGTATAAATTTTCGTTTTTGGGTTTCCTATACGGATGTTTGATATCCGCCCTAAATCCTGATTAATTTTGATTTATGTCGAAAAATTCCACTTTGAAAGATAAAAAATTTCACTTTGGAAGATAAAGTACTTCATATAATAATGACTTCATTTCTTGGATTCAAATCTTATACTTCTGATTAAAAATATTAGGATATTTGCCACCCCACATAACTTTGTTGGCAAAATTTACTGTTAAAAAACATATAGTTTTTGGGTCTAGCAACTATAAGGGGTGTTAGTTAATAAATCGGTTCATTAGCTAGTCTAACCCTAAACCGTAATGAAAACCTATAAAATACTATTATATGTATTGGAAAAAGACGCTTTTCATAATACCAAAACGGATAGGGTTTAGTAGTGAGGTTCCTCTACGTTAAGAAGAATATTTAGTCTATAAAAACATGGAAATTCATTCATTTTGTAAGGACTCTCAACGACCAATAATTCGAGCCTTAATAGTTACACATAATTCGCTTTCACTATAAATAAAATCTGTAAGTTCGAACTGTTATAAAATAAAGACTGTAAAGAAAAAACAAGTATAGAGAGAAACTGATATATTATTCAATTTCAAATCAATGTACATAATAAACTGAAATCTCCTTTGTTTATAGAAAAAGGAAACTGTTGTGTAAGCTGCTACTGCAAGCTGCTTGTGAGCTGCTATTGTACCAGATATAGATAATCTTCTACCGGGGGTAATATTTATCCATAACGGAGTATCGAAAGGATACGCTCATTGTACCAGTTATAGATATAATCTTCTACCGGAAATAATATTTATTCATAACGGAGTACCGAAAGAATAAACTTTTTCAAAAGGCTTATTTCTAATAGAGTACTAAATAGATAAACATATTTACGACAAAATCCCATATGGATAAGTTTCTTCGAAAAACTTATTTAAAATAGAATATTAAATGAACATTCATAATATAATATATTCGTAACACGAACTAGTATTTAATACAGTTATGTTAAAGTTCGAAAAAGTACCACAATTTTGTATTATAATAGTACTTATCGCTAGTATAGACGACAAATAGTGTAATTTCGGCAGGTGACCTGTGAGCTGCTGCAAAAGTATTCACAAGTTCTCACGGTTTAAAAAACATTATACTGAAAATTTTATTGTATCGTGGCACTAGATCAATCGTTACGTAACGACGAAAAGTGTCACTTTATGGAACGATGTATTTAGTGTGGTGATATTGTTATTTTCTCTCATCTTGCCCTTCCTTATTATTAAATTATAATATTTTTT